AACGCTGTCAGGACGTGATAAACGCGAATGGCATGCACACCAAGTGGTAGAAGCTAAGCCAATTAAAGCCTAGTTAGGTATATACACTTGGTGGCGAACTAACGAAAATTACCCTGGAGGAGGGTACAGGCAGGCTTGGGTTAGCCCACTTGCCCCTCGACAACCCCTCGCCTCTCGCCCACTGTGCCGCCACTCGTGCCCTTGCATATCTCATTACGCTTCACAGACAACCACCCGTCGACCCTGTCCACTCGAAATCGCCCTCTGCCATTGCGGGTCAGACCCGTGAGCCCATCCAGACGCTTAAGCTCCCACGGCTCCCCTCCACTCGGGATACACCTGCACTTAGGGGTATAGCAACAAGGCGAGTTCCATGTGGAAAATCTCTGCACATGACCTGACGTGGTGGACCTCATTGATCAAGGGTATTTAAATCATTTTGCCCCGGCATTCCTCTGGAAGCGACGACGATTACTTCACTCCAGTTACACAAGATTGAGCCCACTTTCGACATTTCAGCATAAACACGAAGGCGTTGTCCAATTAGCGCAACTTCGATTCGGAATATCAAGAACCATAATCACCTCATCCTCCATAATGGCACCGTCGGCAACCAACGGCGATGGCGTCAACGGCATCACCAGGGTAAATGGGCAGACGACTGGCACTCAGTTGAAAGCGACGGCTCCGGCGTTCCACCCGGCTGGCACGCCCGATCGATCAAGGTACCATGCGTCGACTTCCGATGAAGCCATCCACGCTGAGCATGAATACGCCGCTCACAACTACCACCCTCTACCGGTTGTCTTTGCTCGAGCGCTGGGAACCACGGTATGGGATCCAGAAGGCCGACAATATCTGGATTTCCTTTCCGCGTATTCTGCCGTGAACCAGGGCCATTGCCACCCAGAACTCGTCAAAGCCTTGGTCGAACAAGCATCCACGCTCACCCTGAGCTCGAGGGCATTCTACAATGACGTATTCCCCCGGTTTGCAGAATTCGTCACCAAGTATTTCAACTTCGACATGGTGTTGCCAATGAACACCGGTGCTGAGGCCGTGGAAACAGCAGTCAAGATCGCCAGGAAATGGGGATATAAGTCCAAAGGCATACCACATGACGAGGCAATCGTGCTCAGTGTGGGGGAAAATTTCCATGGACGGACGTTCTCGGCCATCTCCATGTCCACTGACCCTGAATCCCGCGACAACTATGGTCCCTACCTACCCGGCGTCGGTAGCATCTCTCCAGCCACGGGTAAAGTTATTCCATACAATGACATCCCGGCTGTCCGTGCCGCATTCGAATCCCACGGCGACAAGATTGCCGGGTTCCTCGTTGAACCGATCCAGGGGGAAGCCGGTATTGTGGTTCCCGACGACAGCTATCTGGCGGAGCTTCGCGCACTGTGCGATAAATATAACGTGCTGCTCATCTGCGACGAGATTCAAACAGGTATCGCGCGGACGGGGAAACTTCTCTGCCACGAATGGGCCGGAATAAAACCAGACCTTGTTCTGTTGGGTAAAGCCATCTCCGGCGGAATGTATCCCGTCTCCTGCGTCCTCGGCCGCAAAGACGTCATGCTCACCATCGAACCCGGTACACACGGGTCCACGTACGGCGGCAACCCGCTTGGTTGTGCCGTCGCGATCCGTGCCCTTGAGGTCGTCCGTGAAGAGAAGATGACTGAACGGGCAGAGAAGCTCGGACATGTTTTCCGCGATGGATTGAGGGATCTGAATTCGGATTTGATCAAGACAGTCAGGGGTAAGGGCCTGCTGAACGCGATTGTGATCGATGAGGAAAAGACAAACGGACACAGTGCGTGGGATCTGTGTATGTTGATGAAGGAGAAGGGATTATTGGTAAGTTTTCCCAATTCTCTAGGTCATAGCCGTTCTAACCGTGCACAACAGGCAAAACCCACGCACCAGAACATCATTCGTCTTGCTCCGCCGCTAGTCATTACAGAAGATGAGATCAAGCGTGCTTTGGCCATCATTGCGGAGGCAGTGGCGGAACTTCCGAACTTGAAGGGAGAGAAAGAGAAGCAGGTCCTTCCAGAGGGTGAGAAGAATGTTCACATTGGTGTGGACAATTAAGTTGAACTCTCTTGATGGAGTGGACTCGCCGCATAAGAGGGGTATGAACCGCATGGAGGGTGCGATGTATCAAATACTAACGAGTCACGGAGTAATGACGCTCACTAGAGACATGAGACATGGGTCTGTGTTTGCAAAGAGGTGGCATTGACAGTCAGCTCTTTTCCAGCCAGGGGAATTTCATTTTTAGGTTGACAGGTCAATGGTCTTCCAGTTTTGAGTATTGCTGCATGGGTGTTTGGGATTGTTCAACCTTGTGTGAACAAAAAAGGGTACTTGGGACGAAAGTTGAAGCTGGTTGGGCAACGAGTCAGTCATGAATCGAAGCGTTGACCTGGATAGACCTGTCTGTACCTATTGCCCGACGCTACTCCTATCTACCGCCGATGGTTTGCTTGTCAAGCTACCAGATTCCCTTGCCCATGTGGGCCCGCCGTCTCTTTTTCCCACTCTGTCTTCCGCAAAGATCTGACCGACGTACTTCAGGTCCTGTGCGATCTGGGGCTTCTCCTGATGTTCTACTCGGGAGAGGCCGGTTGTTTGACCGCTGGGAGGTTGAGATACAGCGAGCAGCTCGGAGGCCACTGCGTCGACTCTCGACACCGAGCCATCTGTTGACGATGGATTTGCGAGGATGGACCACTTTCTCCGTGTGCTGCTCACATGGCTTCTCTTATGTGGGGTGACATGACGGACGAGGCCCGAACTCAGGCCGTGCCACGGTTGGGCTCGCGAGTCCTCGGCCATGAATCGTTGCACTGGCGAGAGGTCCGGCGGTGTCGTCTCTTCGACCGCGTCGACTCTGGCTCGTGTGGTGTTCTGGAAAGTCAGCCCCTCCAGGGAGGTCGCGCTCCGTGTCGTCTTTGCGTGGCTCATGGAGTTAGCCGGATATGAAAAGAGCAGTGTGCAGGGGTCAAGAAGAGGTCTCTGTGGCAATGGAAGAGGCTCGGATTATCGCACTGGGGAAAGCATTCGACCTCTTTTTCCTATCCGCCGGTCGATGGGTCAGGAAAGACCCCCCGTCTTATATGCTGCTTTCCCACCGTCAGTATATGGTACTCCGGTCATTCCCATTGCGCCCTGAAACTTTTTCTCGCCCTCTCCCCTCGTGGTCGGTTGTCCAGGGCTACGACCAACGAAATGGTAGTCAATCTTTGGATATCGACAGTGGCCTCATCCACGCCATTGCTCTGCCGGCCCTGGTCACATTATATGGTGTGTATTGTCGGCCTCAGTGCAGGTGAGATGTCTGTCTGCGTCAACCGATGCATACCTCCACTAAACGCGCTCAGCGCCCGCTGCGGGGCCGAGGAGAGCTGGGAAACCCCTTTCGCAAAAGTATTCCTCTCTTTCTCCTTCCTTGGAGTCATTCTCTGTGGAAGATGAAGGAGGTCATTGCCCAATATTCTAGGCCAGACTGGTCGGTAATTTCGCAATCCACCCTATCTTTAGTAGAGAAGAAAGTCCCTTCATAGTGGTCAGACACATCGCGACACTGGCACATACTGTCGTGTGCATACTTCAGCCTCATGTGGATTCAGAGGCCGCACTTGTCGGATTTCATTGGTGGCCCCAACTAGCCCGATTGTCTGCCCTCGTTCTCATCCTTGACTCCGGCTCTTCAACCCGCTGCATGAAGGTCCGGATGGACGATTGGATCTCGATGCTGGCCCACGTAGCTAGGGTGGGTCAATGCACTGATGAGGTTCGAGGATAAGAGGCGACGCTAGATTGATTGGTCTGGGTGAAAGGCCCCAGGGGATCTGGCTGGCATGGCTGGTCACAGATGGAGGAAGGAGGTGTGATTAGGCTGTGCGCAGTGCCTCGACTTGGGGCGCAGCTGGTTTAAATTCCCCGCCCTTCCCAGTGCTCATGGTGTGTGACCCTCGTCTTCAACCTCTGAATATTCATCGACACTTGACAGCACAAAGAACTTGTCCATCGTGGGCGTCAAGTCCAGACTCGAAGGCATTCTAATCTCCTTCCTCGCACAGCTGAGGTCTCATACTGACATTTCCGTGCACCAGGAGTCCTGCCAATCCACCAGGGTGACGGCGTTGCGCGGAGACTGTACGTCTTCGCGCAACCGTCATCCGCAACAATCACTATGATTACCGAATAAATGACGGTGTTCGCGAACCACGTCAGGAACGCCATGCTCTGCGAGGCGATGCAGTTGAACCCCTCAGTGACGCCCCTTTACCAGCAACCTTCACCTTCCTTTCGACGTCCTCCACCTCTCGTCCCAACCCAGGCCACGACGATGATGAATTCTCCAAGGTGTTCGACGAGTTCATCGATCAGAAGTTTTTGGCCAACGATCCTTGCATGACTTGCCAAGGCACTCCTGGAATTTCCTGTCTTTGTGACCTCCCTGATTCAGCACTGCTTGATCGCAACGACTCCCCGTCCTATGCTTGGAATGAACCCACAGCAACACCCTCCTCCACCATGTCCCACAACGGAAATAGAGACGCCTCGCCCTCCGCTTTACAAGGCCAGCCTAGCAAAAGCGGAAGGGACTTTCAAATTTCATCGACGCGTCGTCTCGGGCCTGCCCAGCTAGCAGTGGATATCTCCTCCGGTCTGTCGTTGCCCGAGCTCAGAAGAGCTGAGGGTAGTCTACTGACCATTCCACCAGTGAGCCTGAGTACACCCTCGGTTCTCAGATGTCCACATTGTAATCAATGCTATGGCTCGAGCCCACTCCAGGCTCGACGTTTCCGGTGAGCATGAAAACTCTACAACAATGACGCTTTCGTCTCTGACGGACTGCAGGGACCATGTTGAAAAACACAAGACCCAAAGGTGTAACTTTCGAGGCTGTGGGGTCTTCCTGAAGAACGATGCACGGACGCTCGAACGTCATCGGAGGACAGCTCATGCCGCTCAAGCACAGGTCCAAGACACATTCAGGTGTGCGTGCGGGAAGTGGTACAGACGGAAGGACCATCTCATACGACACTGCAAGACGTGCCGCAGCAGTCGATAAAGTACGGCGATGAAGTGGCAGGTGTGGGTTAATGGAAACAGACCATGGGGTCATTCGAGTGTGGGCACTCATCGCCTTCGACTATGGATCACCGCCGTGATTCGCGAACATCATCATTACGGATAGTCATTTCTTTTCTCTTTCTTTTATTTGGAGCCTTGCTTTACGTCAGTGCTTACGTCACAGTATTACTTTGTCTGTTTCTCATATAGCGTTGATTGTCCGACGAGGCATGGGACGATGGAAGGTGCCATAGGTTGACAGATTGGAAAATGGAGAATGGCAACTCTTTTGTAAACGATGACCTCAAGTTGAACGTTCCCAGGAAACGTTTCGGGCGGGATATTCGTAGTCTCTCGCCCACTACTAGACGTCGCCATAGACTCCAAATTATCCAGGTCCAGGTTTAAGGCATGGCCTTTATAACAACAAACAAATTCCTAGCGGCCTTCAGATTCATGCAATGTCCACTTCCCGGAATTCAAAAACAGTAGTCGTTTCGACCGCTGGCCGACATCGAAGTCCACACTAAATACCAGCTTCCTCTCCGCCCAGTGATCCTTGCCCGTGACCTCTTTGAGCAGTTCGCAAATCGTACACTTCTGGATTTCCGCAAATAGAGGAATAAAATCAGCTATGGACTCGCCCCCGTCCCACAGCAACACGTATCTGTGAGAAAAGGAACCGTCCAGGTTCGTCCAGAAGGACGAGGAGATCAGGCAGGCTCCGCCGTACCTGTATCCGTTATAGACACGACTAAGGGGGTTCGCTGGCCGTTCGTCTCCTCCTTGTTTGCCACCATCCAAAACCTCGACAGCCGGCCCCGGTATCAACAGCTGGACCGGGGCTTTTCGTGGTAGGAACGTAGCCGTGGGGGGTAAAGACAATCTATGGAGTTGACGCCGGTACCTTTGGATCTTCCTCCACCGAGCTTTTCCTGCTTGTTTCCTTATTATTGCCTTGTCTTGCTGGCTGATTTCCACGTCGGAGGACGCTTCGGCTTCTTCGAACAAATCCCAAAAAGGAGTCGGCGATGCATCTCCCATGCTTCCAACGTGGTCGTGATTCTGTGCCTCATCACTCACTGGGTGATCGTCTTCATTGAGCATCGGGCTTGACCCAACCCTCGTCACGGTCGACTCTGGAAAGGTGCCGTTGGTGCAGTTCCCGTCAGGCAGGGGATCAGTGTCGGTCAGGCAACATCGACTTCTCAACCCGCTGGCCGAACTGACACTAGCTTCCTCGATTCTCGCGGTAAGCATGTCAATTTCCTGGTACAGAGGGAAGACACCACTGGGTCCCAACCATTCAGCCTCTATGGCCCGATGCCGGGATGCAATGTCACTGCCAACAACCTCTGGCTCGTCACAGTGGCGGACCACCCACATCATGCCATGCTCTTCAAGCACACATATAAAGGACGACGACGATTTCAGCCTCTTGAGATGTTTCTGTCGGTGTCTGCGCAATTTCGGTGTACAATCCCTAGAGTTAATGGCCTTGGCCACGTATTTCTTGTCGCTGGAACCGAGGGCCGCGAGCAGGTACAGATCTCCGTGGCTCTCGCTGCGGATAAACCTGACAATCTGGTAGTCAGGACTGAGGCGAACGTTCTCGAATGAATTGTTTGGGCTCTGCGACGCATGATCCGAGTCTTGCTCGAACACGCTTGATGCAGAGGTGAAGTCGGATCCCATCCGCCGCGTGACTGAAGCCCCTTTTGACACTTCCGTCATCTCCGCAATTGCGACGGCGCACAGCTCGGCTATATCAATGACATCGACAAGAGAGTTAGAGCACCCCACAATGATTCACAATGTGATGATGCTCTATAGGGTTGCTGTGGTCTGTATCAGGCTGAAGCGCTCCGACTCTGTGCTAAATTGGGGCCACCAATCAAATAAATGAATGACTCGCTCACCGGGCAACCGTCAGTCATGATCAGCCAACCGTCTGCAGCCTCACGTATCAGTATGACCGTGCAGCAACTCGGATATACTTTCTACGTCGCAGCTTCAAGGTCGTTGCCAGAGAGAGCACGAAGAAACCATTGCTCGACAAGTCCTCTCCCCTGAACCAGCGCCAACTCATTGTTGAGCGAGTGCACTGACAAAGGTGTCTCTGTCGAGATGTTCATCCTTCGACCACCCCACTGCGCCGTTCCTATTCGCCGAGCTCTCGAGTTTCATGACCTACCTGTGCTGTGGAACGAGTATAGGGGAGTCCCGCGTATCGTTGAGAGTCCTCCACTCGATACCTCGGTCGAGTGCCTAGGCAGATCAAACCCATCGCCATCGTTTGTCGACACTGATAGACAATCAGTATCATACAGCTCTCCGCAGGCCTGCTCTTTTCGCCCGTATGATAGAACACAAGGAGGATCCAAGAAGGGAAAAAAAAAAAGATCACAGCACCCAAAGTGCTGGGGAAACTGCCGGATATACCTACAGTAATACCTGGTCGACTGAGCCTCGGCTTGATTGAGATCGGTTCGAACCGAGCCTCGAGATGGAGGTCTCTTCCTAGTCAGGTATGAACAAGACGTCCATATCGCTACCTGTATCATCTACAAGGCACTCAAATTACTTGGAATGAAAAAGAAAATCAAGGAGCCCAGTTATGGGTGAGCAAAGGCCGCTTTAGCTCTTGGCTGAGCACTCCTTGGACAAGAGACCGGGCCGTGGGGGTCAGTGAAAAAAAGGCCGAGATGAGCCGCAGGTCTAGGTATGTACCTCGTACTTGGAATCGATTGCCACGACCACTGGATCGGACCCTGGCGGGCGACCCTTTTGGCAATGTGACTTCTCCAACCTCCTTCCGGGGGGGTGTGCTGGTCGCGTTATTGCTACAACGGGTGATGATTTAACGTGTCTTTCCGTGGACGACTCGCTGGTTGGCACTGCAAAGAGGAAGAAGGCCACATCGGCGTTGAAAATCGGGTCAACCAGGCTCTTGACCACAGGACCTCTTTCACCAATGAGTGCCCGAATGATTTTCACGTTCCAGATCCGTTAAGATTTATTGCACCGATGTCTTGTTTCTAGTGGAAAGCTTTGACGAAGAACAAGAAGAGATTATCACGAGGGAGATGCTGCCAAGCTGGAATTGGCAGATTCCTGGCTGCCGTGGAGGACGGGACGATTCTGGGTCCACCATCACACCAGAAGAAACATGGGTCACTCGACGCTCAGAGAGGGCCACATTGGCTGCAACCTCAGCCTTCCAGAACAAAAAACAGAGCTCTAGGCTCGATCTGCCAACGAGAGAACTCCTCGACATGACAACTCCCAAGATTTCTGAACATGCACGATGCGAGGTCGGGTGTCTTAGCGACGACCTGGAGTTACTCGTGGACTTCCTTGGCCCTGGCTAGTCGACGCCCGTCGCAGAGGTCGTCGGTTGTTTTGAGATTGCTGTGGCCCAGAGAACTTCCTCCTGGTCAATGCTCATGGCAGAATCTCAACTTTCTTTTTCTCGAAATTCGAAACAGCGAGATGAGAAAACGTGGACCGTCCTCGTGAGAGATATGGCATCGAACTGCGAACGTCGACTCCCAACGACTGATATACTTCCAAAAGTCTCAATTGCTGACGAGCAACGGAACCCCCACTTGGCCACGCTTGGAGTTGCCGCACTGGGTCTGTATCGAATTGACGATTCTCCAAAGGTTCCGGACAACAATGTCTAACCAGCTTGAGTAGGGGCTTTGGGGCAGTCACCGTCGCACCTGCTGACACTGAGATCAAACTACGACTGCATCAAGCAAGGGCAGGCGGCTCAACTTGGTCTCCATTACCGAACAGATCTCACGGCAGCAGCAAATTCGACGCGCAACTCTCACAAGAGAGCTGAAAAGAACCGTAGAGATCGTCTAGCGCTCGCAATGCAAGAGCTTGTCATGCTACTTCCACAAAAGCCCTCGACCTCGGGCTCGTCGGGCAATCAACGTGGTGGCAAAGCCGAGACCGTCGAGATCGCCGTGCAATACATCAAACAGTTACAGGAAGAAGTCAATGCCTTGAAGCGCCTTACTCTGTCACCTTCCGTATCAAAGACGTGTCTTCATGAGAACACCACCGCACAAGATCAATAAAAAGGTGTTTGCCACTGCTGCTGGATCATGTTGTCAGATGTTGCCCCTCGGATGAAAGCCCATAAACGTCAAAATGTGGCATTCGTGACTGAAAATCCATAGAAAACAGCAGGTGACTGACAAACTCACCATCATACCACGAGGCGGACGAGTATTTTACAGACTACCACAGACGGGGTTCGCACATCATCGCCCATGCTTCACGTGCTGTGATTTGAGTAAGTCAGCGTGGTCTCCTTGTCCAAACCATCAAGAGGTGGCTTGGTTGGTCAAGCGTGCTTGGAAATAACCGGGACTCGGCAGCGTAGCTTGACTCCAGACCGATCCTAGTCGCTACCCGATGTCGAGATTCTTTCAACGTGCCGACGACATTCAAAGGCGACTGGCTCTCGTATTTGAATCGAGATGATCATGTCCGGACACAAGAGTCGAATTTTGCAGCCCAGAAACCACTCATTGTATCCGATTGAAGGGGGAGACTTCCCGCCCAGCAGACGAAGGCTTGGAAGCAGAGAAATTCGCCAGGCTGGTGCTCGGCAAGCTGGATTGTCTGCGCACATCTGATATCAGGGGACGTATACTTTTCTCAGATTAACCCATTTTTATATCCGCACTTTGGGCACGTTCTGGACATGGAGCTTACAATTGGCTCTCAACGAGTCCATTCCAAGGCTTTGCCAAGAGACCTGTTCCGCCCCACCATCTTCTTGGCGGCGGGATTCCTTGGCATTTACACCTCCATCAGAGTTCCAGGGAGGCTACTCCTTCCCACGGGCATCGTGACGCTTGCTTGTTAGGTACCTATACGACTCCCAGCGTGGCCTTATCCCCTTGGCACCGTGGTCCGGAGGGACCTTGGCGAATAAAATGCGGGCTCCCAAGGCTAAGTCATTGTCACCTTGTGGTAGCTTTCTTCTTCTTACGACGAGCAGATCTTTTTGTGAGTACGGTGATAAAAAGACTGACGGTCCGCCCTCTCCTCCCTCTCTTTCGACTCCCACAAGCTTGGACACTCCCTATTCGATCTTGGACAGAAACGGGTTCTAGAACAGGATGGTTCTCCACCAGTTCGACTACATTTTTGCCATTGGCACCATCTTTGCTTTCCTCGATGCATGGAACATTGGTGCCAACGATGTCGCCAACTCGTTTGCGACGTCGGTGTCGTCCCGATCCCTGACTTACCTCCAAGCTATGGCCATTGCCTCAGTCATGGAGTTTGCTGGCAGGTACGGAAGATCCTGAAACGCTTCCCCACGCTGGACATCGGGAACTTATACGTGAGAACAGTGTCGCTGTCGGAGCCCGCGTGGCAGACACCATCCGAACCAAGATTGTTTCCCCAGACTTGTTTGAGGAAACCCCCACCATCCTCATGTTGGGCATGACGTGCGCCGTCATCGGGTCTTCCGTCTACCTCACGATTGCCACCAAACTTGGTTTGCCTGTCTCGACGACTCATGTAAGCTTCGTCCGCTTCCACTCCACGTCTCTGTGCATCACTTCCATTCGATGCTCTGTTCAGGGGAGTTGGCTAACGCTTTGATCTACCGAGACAATAGTCAATCATGGGTGGTGTTATTGGCATGGGTATTGCCTCTGTTGGCGCGGGCGATATCACCTGGTGGGGTGGAGACGTCAACTCGGGAGTTGTTTCAGTCTTTTTGGCCTGGATCATCGCCCCGTTCTGCTCTGGAGCCTTTGCGGCCATCACTTTCCTCATCACCAAATATGTGGTCATGCTCCGCCAGAATCCTCTCATGAAGGCGCTGGTTTCAATCCCCATCTACTTTGGTATCACGTCCGGCCTCATCACCAGTAAGTCTTCCTGGGGACGGTACGGCTTCGGAACCTTGCATATGCTGACCTTGATCCTTTCTAGTGCTTATCGTCTGGAAGGGCGGTTCCACACGTATCCATCTCAGTAATCCTGAGACCATCGGTGTGATCTTCGGGGTTGGTGCTGCGGTCGCCCTGTTGGTCGCCGTGTTTTTCTGCCCCTGGCTCTATCGGGTCTTGCTCAGGGACGACTGGGAGCTCCAATGGTACCACGTTTTCCTCGGGCCTCTCCTCCTCCGACGCCCGGATCCTGCCCCGGCACCAGAGGGATACCAGGCTGTCAGGGATTACTACCGCGGACACAAGACCATGGACGAGTTGAAGGCGTACCGCGAGGCACAAGCCCACGCTCATCCCAAAGACGAAGAACAACTGGTCCACGGTTCGGAGAAGGGTGTTCCCGTCAGCGAGAACGGGAAAGCCTCCTCGGAGGAGAGCCACGTCCCCGAAAAGAACCCAGATATGCCCCAGATCATTGGCCCCCGACCCGAAGGAGGTGCCTTTTCTCCCGCCGTTCTGTTCTGGCAATTCAAGCGCGTCTTCTTCCGCGGCGTGGAACAAGATATTATCGCCCAGCAGAAGAAGGCCAGCATCCTCAGCGGCGACATCGAGGCCACCCACGCCTATGTCGAGCACTATGACAACAAGGCCGAGTATCTGTATTCGTTCCTGCAGGTGCTGACCGCCTCGGCCGCCTCCTTCACCCACGGCGCCAACGACGTCTCCAACGCCATCGGACCCTACAGCACCATCTACCAGATCTGGCGGACCAACGAGCTGGGCAGCAAGGTCCCCGTGCCGTACTGGATCCTGGTCTTTGGCGGTGCGGCCATCGTCATCGGTCTGTGGACCTACGGCTACAACATCATGCGCAACCTGGGCAACCGCATCACCCTGCACTCTCCGTCGCGCGGGTTCTGCATGGAACTGGGCGCCGCCGTCACCGTCATCATGGCCACCCGACTGAGTACGTGTTCGCTACTACCCTCTCTCCTTCCCTCCATTCCTCTCGCCGACTTGCCAGACAAAAGGCTAACTCTTTTTTCTCACGCACAGAACTCCCCGTCTCCACCACCCAGTGCATCACCGGCGCCACCGTCGGCGTCGGCCTCTGCGCCGGAACCTGGCGAACCATCAACTGGCGCATGGTCCTCTGGATCTACGGCGGTTGGATCATTACCGTACGTCCCCTCCGTCCCCACTTCTTTTTTCTTTGTGAGAGAAAAGAAAAGTCCCTCCACTCGCAATGCTCTTTGGATAAGTCGACATGTACTGACAATCATATGTGTCTCAGTTGCCCCTCACCGGCATCATCTCGGGCTGTCTGATGGGCATCATCATCAACGCTCCCCGGTGGGGATTGCCGGTGGTGTAAACGGACCGTCGGGTCTGGTTTGTTTGGCTGGCTGGCTTGCTTGTAAGGCCTGGTGGGTGGGTCGTTCGTTTCACACGCGGAACTATGTATGTTACCATCATGCATCATATGTCCTGTGGAACCAACACCTGTTCGTCCAAGACTCGCGGGCATGTGTCACAAGTCACTGCCACAACGAAATGGATTACATACAGACTTCTTGACTCAGTCTCAGTCCCAGTCTCAGTCCTTCGTTGTCGAACCGGCCTTGCGCTTGTTGTGCTCGTGCGTGTGTGTTACGGTTGGAGCGAAAGAAGGGAATTTCATTTCAATTATGATGCTGTGTTTCTTTAATTTAGAGAGAGTAGATATATACATTGACATTTACATATACATATATACACTATGTATCTATGTGTGTATGTCTCTGTATGTATAAAAAGCCGGGAATGTGCTACATTGTGTCTGTTCATTTGGTATACGAATAATCTAGAGCGAGCAAGCGACATCACCGGTTGATTACCTTAGGTACCTATCCATCCGGAGGCGCCGTGAACCAGAGGAGCTCGCAAAAGCACTCTGCGGGGACGGAGCGACCGTGCACTATCCGACGACGCATTGGGTCTGCATCGATCTGCAATTCCGCATCGAGTCCCCATCCGGAGTGTATATGGCGGTCAACCATCTCGGGCATCTCCAGCGACGTGAAAAGAAGTCTCTCGGCATCATTCTGCACCCGGGGCGCCAGTCGGTGAAACGCCGCCAACATGCGTACGACCCCGATCCAGACCTGGGCGTACCTCTCGCCAATCGAGGCCGAGACGCTCAGCCGGACCAAGAACCACATCAGGTGGACAGGCGATATCGACGCGTCGTCGCGGGCTTCTTCGAGGTGCTGGCTGATGGCGTCGATGCACGAATCAGTCGCCGGGTCAAAATCTCCGTGCTGCATGAGTGCCGATGTGAGGAACAAAATGACTGCTAGGCGGCAGTTCCGTTCCGTTGGATGTTCCGAGGTTGGTGTCTGAAGCAGCTTCTTCATGGTCGAGGCTTGAAACGCCTTGATTCTCCTCAAGTCGGTCAAGCGATCCATCTCTGCCTCGGAGGTGGGTAAAAGATCCACCAGGGCTTTCTGACGACTTCGAAGCAGGTCATTGAGATCCCTAAGTCCGGCCTCTAGATCTGGAGCGAAGTCGAACCCCGTCAGAGGTCCGGGCAGGGCCACGAAGGTCCAAACGAGCTTTGTGAACATGAGATAGTCGCCCACAAACGAAGACAGGCCACCGTGTAACGATATCATCTCCCTGAACGCCAGCCAGTGTGAGGCACCGTCGGCCCCTTCCATACACTTGAGGCTGCAGAGAAGGGCCGTGCCCAGAATGACACCCGTGCTGGGAGTGTGTAGGTTGGACCTGACACTTCGCAGAAGCTGGTTCTCGTATTCCAGCGGAGCTTGTATCCCCTGCAGGGCTGACCGATGAGTTGCGGCATCGAACAACATGGCCCGGAAAGACACCTCGTCACGGGAGTAGAGCTGGAACAGGTCTCTCACGGCATTTGCGTCGCCCATGTGTTTCCATCGTGCTCTGTACAGCTCCGGCATCACAGTGGTATCTGGGACGGATTTAACACCGAGCGCTGATCAGATACCAGTAGTACTAAGTACTTACAGTGATGAAAGAGACATCTGTCCGAGGCCGTTTGGAGAGGGAGATGGACGGTCGGTGGACAGGCAGCCCTGAGCGCGACATCGATGGGCCATTTGAATTGGTCGAAGCGCAGATCTGTGTGGGAAACGGCGAGGTTTGAGAGATGGACTTTTCTGCGCTGACGCTTCATCCGGTGCAACTCCCTTGCAAGATGCGCCCGGGACTTGTGGCGCTTCTCGGGGTCATTCTCGTCGACAAAGTGGAAGCGTGGAAGAGGCTTTTTCTCTGCGGCCATCTGGGAGGAGAATGTTGCAGTAGACGGACAGAAGTGCCACGGGGAGCACAGACATGTGTGTGCTGGACCACCGCCATTATGTATGTAGGACTTGTAGTCAGCGGGATGAAGTCTAGAAGCCTCGGGTGCACGAATGGCAAGATGCTGACTGATGTTCCAATCTCACGGCAACTGACAGCGGGTTCGGTGCAATTATTGCACGTGACCTCATATACACCCCATTTGGCTGTTAGGTGCTGCTGCTTTGAGAGAGGGACAACGGATCTGCTTGAATCTGTCAATGTGCTGCTGACTAATATAGGTTGTAGACTGCCGTTTTGGGACATGCCCGAGTGTCCACCCAGCACTCACTATTCCCAGCAAAGTGAGTGAGTGCTTGAGAGGAGAAAGAGACGCGGGGATCAGTAGACACTACTAAGTCGTATGCACTGGACTGGCCATGACATTAAGTTGGGCTCAGGTGGGTCGAGAGGTTCGGGGAATCATGTTATACTCCAAGTTACTTGTCCGGCGATTGTCCGATAAAGTACGACGTACGAGGTACAAGGAGATGTCCTACACTTGATAGCCTGGTCACACGCACGGCAGTTTAGCACTTACTTATAGACGAGATAGTATTAGGATATCTAAGTACTTTCGTAGTATTCTGCTCCTTTCGGTTCTTGTAGTACTTACTTAGTAGTACTATATTTTGTTCCTACCTGCAAGCACCATGGCAGCGACGTGGCAGGAGACGGCAGCGGTGGGCAGACACCCGCATATGAAATGTAGACCTGCTGACTTGCGGCAAGGCCTACCAAGCTGCTCTCAAGGCCAAAATCCCGCCTGAATGGCTCCTTCCCCAGGATTTCTTGTCCAGCGGGAAGCCACGCAACATCATGCCCTTGTTCAAGACATGTGGTGTCCTCTCGTCCCACGAACTCGACATTACCGAGGTCGAAGACGCCGTGACGCTCTTGGAGAAACTTCACTCGAGGACGTGGTCGGCCGTCGAGGTGACCGTGGCCTTTTGCAAACGCGCGGCCGTCGCCCAACAACTGATCAATTGTCTGATGGACATTGACTTTTCAGGAGCCATTCAACGAGCCAAGGAACTGGATAAACATCTCGCCACCAAGGGGGAATTGGTCGGTCCGTTGCATGGGATGCCTGTGAGTTTGAAGGTAAGGCGACGAAGAAACATTGACGGTAGGATCGTGCTGTCATGGTTGCTGACATGCTCTTGGTAGGACCTCACTCACGTCAAAGGCATGAAGTACACATTGGGCATGGTGGCGTTGGCCGACGAGGTCTCGGACCATGATGCTGTGGTGGTCCAAACCCTGCGTGCGGCTGGTGCAGTCATCTATTGTAAGACAACCATGCCTCAGACTGGAATGGTAGGTTCAAAGTGGCAATGAATACCCACATACACACGGTTCACTCGTTCCCTTCAGGCTCTGGAAACCACGACAAACCTCTACGGCCGCACACTGAACCCTTTCAACACCGACCTTGTCTCTGGCGGCTCTTCTGGTGGCGAAGGAGCCCTCAATGGCTGCTTGGGAGCCCCGATTGGCGTGGCCACAGACATTGGAGGCTCCATTCGTGCGCCAGCCTCGTTCAATGGCCTCTACGGCATCCGACCAACGTCCCGACGATTCAGTTATCTCGGAAACGCCCCCTTCACCGGTCAGACAGCCATTCTGTCAAGCATTGGGCCCGTGGGACGGAGTCTTCGAGACATTGAGATGATGTTGCGCGTGTGGAACAACCACGAGCCCTGGCTTTATGATCCCGTGGTCATGACGAAGAAGTGGGCAACCAACATCGGAGTCCCTGCGAAAGCGACGATAGGCGTTATGTTCTGGGACGAGGTTGTCATGCCACATCCTCCTGTCCAGCGGGCCTTGAAGATGGCCGTGGACAAGCTTAAACACGCAGGACATGAAGGTGGGAATGAATTTTTCTAGTTTCCCTATTTCCCAAAGCTGACACTCATTTTCCCGCAGTCGTCGAGTTCAAACCATACAAGCATAAAGACGCCTGGGATCTGGCGGTAAGGGACATACATCTCTCTACGCCTTCAAGTTGTGGCTTTCGGCTTTCGATTTGTCAATGCTAGAGCTGACATCCCACGTTTAGTTCAAGCAATACTATCCCACAGGAGGCAAAGAGATCAAAGCCACACTAGCTCGGGCGGGAGAAGAGCCCATCCCTTCGGTAGCCAAGTTTCTGGCACGAGCCCGCCAGCTGACGGTTGAAGAGTTGTTGCAATGTGCCACGTAATGCTCCTCTCCACCTGACAATGGATCAGTACTAAGTAACCCGTCAATGCAGGGAGCAACGACAATACCAAATAGAGTATCTCAATCACTGGAGAGCGACTTCGAGCCAGACATCCACCGGAAAACCGATTGACGCGCTCCTCACACCGTCGATGGCTTCGGCGTCGTTTCCCCACGATTACTTACCGTGAGATCTCCTTTCCCTTGTGCCTTTTCTTCTGCATCACGCGCATCCTAAACAGAGTTCTCGCCTAGGTGGTGGGGTTATCTCGCACAATGGAACCTCCTCGACTACCCCTCGGTCATCCTGCCCGTATCGCACGTCCAACCCAGCGATGCAAAAGACACCACCTACCAGCCCGTCAACGAGTTGGACCAGGAGACCTATGATCTTTACGACCCTGTCCTGTTCGAGGGTGCCCCGATCTCCCTTCAACTTGTCGGCAGGAGTCTATGTGAAGAAGAGCTGTTGGCTGTGGCAATGGCAGTAGACAGTGCGATAAAGGCTTAAATCGAGCGCGTTCACGAGGCTGAGGCCTCTGAACGAATATGAAGATAAACACTACATGATTAAAGAAAAAGCCCTCGCAAGCGAGACTCGACCTGGCACTGGTTGAAATCTAGTGCTGTAGCTTACAGTTGCATACCAATGACGATACTATTTCCTACATGCGTTCCGAAAAGTCATATTCCATAACTTCGCTCTGTAGAATACTTACCTAGTAGGATGATCTGTGGTCCACCGAGTGTGGTTGATAGCTGGCAGGAACAGCAGGAATTTTGTTCCCAGCAACGCCTTGTAAAGAATAACGATAATCGACATCACCAGTGAGTGACAAGTCTGTAGCCAGCTGGAGTGTCCTATGAGGGTTGTCCTTTCCTTGAAACGCATCACCAGAATCGCCCAAAACGGAAATACCCAAAACAGCACAAGACGGACCCACGTGACAGATTCTAGTATCACTACTACATAGCACCGGTACGACGGGTAAGAGGAGCAGTGTTTTTCTTTCACTACTCCAGGCTTACGAGGACTGCAAGTAGGTAGGTAGGTACGTATCGCTTTAATCTTTCGTTTCTGATTCCCCCACCTCCGTGTCAAAAAAAGAGTACTGGAAGTAGGAAGATAGCTATACTTCTGGAAATAATGCCTCCCTTCTACGGAAGCCTGTCTGTATACATTCATAGAAAAGGAGTTGCAAAGACCCAACCCAAAACTTTTGTAGGTGACCAGGTCCCCTGGGAAGAGTACCCCAGCGGGATACAAAGCTGGACCATGTAAATGTATAATACACCAGAACGTCCAGTGGCTGTCTTCATCATGCTGTGCTCGGTACACCGACCGGCTCTCATCGCATGAGCAGGCGGGCTCACCTCGCCCATCCAGCTACTTAGGTACTAAGTAAAAATATGATGTGCTGTAACATCAGTGTTGACAGTAGTAGTAGCTAGACAGACAACAAACTCGTGAGACAGTCGAAGAACAAATGGGCCACTCACTTGGGACTGCATCACGTGATTTGGGACAAACGTGACAAATGGTGCAAACTCTCAATCGGTTCATCCTCGGACCTCAACCTCAAGTCTCCAAGCTCCAGCATAATAGATATCCAAAGAGCATCCCCATATGGATACCATCCCCCAGCACCTTTTGTCACGGTGACGGTTTTTCCGTGACCAGCTCCAAGATACTAACTAGCATGAAGTCTCTCCGACGGCCACTGGCCTTCGTGCGGCCAGTCCAGCTCCTCCTCCCCCGAGCCTCACTGCGCACCTTCAGCGCCACCCGCCAGCGCGCGCAGCCTCAGCGTCCCTCGAGCACGACGAGCTCCGCCGCACCAGAGCGACCCGTCAACTTCTACAGCACGCACGGCCGCGCGTTCTTCAAAGCCATCACCCTGGCGTTCCTGACGTACCAGATCGCGTATTGGGCCTGGTTGACCCTGGAGACCGAGTCCCTCAAGGACGAGAAGAACCGGGAAATCAGGTCGCTCGAGCAGGAAGTGAGGTTGTTGGATGAGGGCCGGAAGGCGCACAGGCCTGACTCCTCTTGAGGATCATCCGGATGGGACAGAGACAAGAAAGAATAAAAGTGAATATGAGGGATCTGCGCGAGGGTGGGTAAGTTGGGACAGGATTGAGTGCATACACCGTCGATTGAGTCTCTTGTCAACGGGATAGTGGGCGCGCGACTTCAACGAGAGTACTAGTGTGCCGAGTCGTTCTCCGGATCTGAAGCTGCCAGTTCGCTCCGGAACCCTCGGGGGTTTGGAGCGCAGGCGTCAGGATGATTTGTCAGAGGGCCTCTCTGAATTGATCCGGAAATCTATTCGGACGGCAAGTCCTGCTGTCCAACAACTTGAAGCCCGGAGTCTCCAGCCTCTCTGTGGATCATATCTTTGTCCTGACCACAATATGCTGATGGGGATCCGTTATGACCTGGAAACAAATGTTCGCTAGGTGCAAGAATCACGACGCCGGGCCTCATACCATCCTACCTATGTGCATCCTGTGTCCCGGTCCCGGTCGACCTCTTAAGATTGACTACGGATGGCAATGTCAAGGAACGAGAAAACTCACTTCCTACATGTCACCGCAATGGGAACTTTACTTCAAGGCGCAGCTCATTCCAAGAAAGTGCGGCTTGCAGCGAGGATAGAAACATTTTGTTTTTTTCCAGGGGAAAAAAACCCTATCGAGCAACCAGACACGAAGCGGAAAAAACAAGTTTTGCAACACGACCACAGGTCACAGGCTGAGCAGCACATTGATCTTGATCAGTCTCATCGTCGGTGATGGCCCAGATTGGGAACCCAGCAAATCAAACCCGTCCCAACTGGACAAAAACAACAAAGTTTCAATACCGACAAGGGGGAAAATTAGAGGAACCATGGCATGGCATGGGGGAATGAATCCAGAGGGGAAAAAACCCACGCAAGGAATGCTTCGTGTGTTTATTATTCTACACACAACACGCTCGCAGAGGGGGTATTTTGTATATTGTTTTTCTCCATAGGCTGCATGATGCATGTCAAATAAATCAAGTCCTCTCTCTCGTATCCAGTCCCAAGGGCGTGCACGGCACGGCACCGCATTCCCATGTATGTCCATGTCCCGTGTCCATATCCATGTATTCGTTGCACGTCCCATCTCCACTGACCTGACCCGTCACTTTCAACCTCCTATCAGGGCCTCTGGGAAAGGGAACACTTCAAGTCCAATCAACTGGGCATGAGCGGCTTATACCTCTCCAACCTGCTCGCGCCGGGTCCGTCATCATCGTCCATGAGGTCTCCGTTCGCGTTGGCATCCGTGTTGGCATCAAGGTCGGGTCTTTTCCTCGTGGGCAAAGCCGGGCCGTTGCCGTTGCCGTTACTACCAGTACTACCGATACTGCCGCGGGCAGTGTCCCTCCTCGGGGGCAGTGGTGGTGCAGGAGGATCGTTCGCGCCGTCATGGCGCAGGGTCTGCTGATGCTGCAGTTTCGAGACCCTCATTGGTGGCGGCGGTGGCGGTAGTCTCGCGCTGGGCGCCGAGGCGAGAGAATCAGCCGCGCTCACGAACGAGGCGGTCGAACTCGCCGTCTCCTGACGCCGGGGTAGTGGAGGAGGACGCTCGTCATAGTCACCAGGCGCGGCGGGACCGTCTGGTCGGGAAACGCTCGCCAGTCGTGGCATGACCGGGGCGGGGAGAGGGCTCAGTTGCGGAACCGCGACCTGGCTGGATGAGGTGGTGAGAGCCGACGGCTTGGTGGGTTTGGGTGGCGGCCGTTTCTTGGGGAATCCCGCCGCCGACGAGGACCGTGCTGGGATATTGGCTAGATCGCTCGCCGACGACATGGCCGACCGTATAGGAGAGGTCGTGGCGCTGGAAGCCCTGTTCCGAGAAGCCAAACCGCCGCGTGGTGTAGGGGGCGTCGGACGTCGAAGGGCCTTCATCTCCGCCGCCGCGGTGGAAGGCGTTGTAGCTCGTTCTCCCTCCCAGGGAGGCGGAACCATTCTCTTCACCGTTCTCGGTGGCGGTGGTTCTGGCTTCCTGCTTCCCAGTCTGTTGCCTTGCTTGTTGTTGTCCATGATCGGTGGTCGCTCGACCTCGACCCAGTCGTCCTCCCCGCCCTCCCCGCCCTCCCTCCATGGGTTACCTTCGCGATTACCGCTCAACATCATGCCTTCCTTTGGTGGCCGAATTGTGCTTCTCGCAGCTCTGTTCCCATCCAACCACCACTTTCGTTTGTCGCTGCTAGCCGGAGGAAGCCCTTCCTGGATGCTCTCGTATCCCATGAGACTCTCCATGACACTGTCGGTCTCGTCATCGGTTTCCAAGTCATCCAGCCCTTCTGTGGAATCTCCGGCTTTGCTTTTCATTTCTTTCGCCCTCTTCGAATATAGCTTTTTGGTCAATGTATCCTTCTTCTCCTTGTCTACCACCCGGATCCCCACGTCAAATATGGCGTATACGGGCCTGTGATCACTGAACCTCAGGCCCATGACGCTGTCATATTCCAACTGCTTCATCTGCGAGCCAAGAACCTCTCCAGCCTGGACCACATTGCGGGTGTGGTTGACCTTCCAGAGAATCCGGTCGGTCCAAGCAGGTATGCGCTGCTTGTCACTCGAGTCGAACTCGTCTTTGCCAATGTCGTACTTGTATGTGGGCAGAAATTTTACCCGTCCTTCGCGATAATAGTTGAAGCAATTCCCCACCACCATTTGAATGTTTAGTTGGTCGTTCTCGTAAAGCTTGCCCAATGCCTCTTCCCTGATCTTTTCCGAACCAATCATCGCTTCGTTGACGAGGGCTTTGACTCGCTCGTAACCCAGACCGATTCGATAGTTGAAGTCCCCAGCCCAGACGATGATCTCGTGGTCTTCGATGCTTCGGTTGCGCTGGAACCTCAGGCCAGAGGTGATGGTGTTGTAATCTCGATTTCGCTCCTCGTAGTTGGCGAACCCGGCGGCCAAGTGGGCAGTGACAAAACACACCGACGTGCTTTCAATATCCATCCTGATGGCGACGGCACCTTTGTTCCCGGCAATCCCGCTCATGCCCGTTTTCTTGATGGCACCCTCCACATTCTTGATTCGACCCAGAATGCTTGCACGGACAAAGACCATCAATGCAGCTCCCACCAATTGGCCGCTCCTCAAAAGAACATATTCATCCCCTTTTGTGGGTACACCCTCAAATTTCTCGTCGGGGCCATGGCCATTGAGGCAGTTTCTGACTGCCCTTTCCCACAGCATCCGACGATTAGGGTCTGTGCTCATGATTTGCTGCGGGCTCAGCTCGACTATCTCCTGAAACCCAACCACCACGATATCCAGATTTTTTCCGCGGACATCCAACCAAGGTGTCAAGTCCTCATGAATTCCTGTCGTCTTGCCATTCAGGTTGAATGTTCCCATCCCGAGCCTGAGCTGATCTCGGGACTCAAACTCGGCCCTTCGTCTGACAACTTCTGCAACCACCCAGTCGTTGATAGGGTCGAAGAGGTCGACACTCGTCTGTCCAACCAACCTGCCGAGTAATAGGTCGACAGTGTTTTGCCTGTTCTTGTCCTCGAAGTGATTGACATAGAGGCGAGTAGCACTCTTCCGGGCATCCGCCAGAGCACCCGCCAAACTCATCTTGCCGTGCCTTGTGAATGAACTCTTCAACGCTCCAGTCCCGGCATATATTCTCGACAAAACATCTCCATTGTCGGCCCATAATGCAGAATGGCGCATCCAAAAGTCAGAATTGCCTCGCTCATCGCGGTGCGACAGAAACAGCTCCAATGCCATTTGGCTTATTAGGCCCTGGATCAAATTCGTCCGATCCAAGCAGTCCAGACAATTGACACGGAAGACGCCGTTCTGCTGCATAATGACAATGGGCCTTCGGACAAGCTTCCGTCTACCCTGCTCGACGGCGACCTCCTCGATCTCCTCTGAGAGAAAGTAAACAAACGACTCTGCGCTTGCGTCCAAATAAGGTCGAATCGCTTTTGCCGCTTCGTATCCTGTAGGTCCACGGGTCCGTTCATGAAAATCGAATTCCGTCTCGTGGAGCAGATGGTGTTCCTCTACTTCGCCTTCCTCGTGTCGTCGCAGTGGGCTTCGACCCACATGATAGCGGTACCTCTCTGTCAGTTCGACCTCACCCGGTTTTGATGCGCTAAGCAAATTCACAATGTGAACTGCACCATACGTTCTCTCCAAGGTTGCGAAATGCTTGTCGAACGCAGGCTGCGTGGCCTCCGGCGAGCGAGTTATCTGGATCTTTTGTTGGCCAGGTATCAAACTGCTCGAGCTTTCCCAGAATATCGGTATGCTGCCTCGCACTTGGGTGTATGAGAAGCAGAGGCCAGTGGGAGACCAGAAGACTGTCTCGGTCTCGACAAAATTGGCAACATTACCATCATCGTCAATGCCTCGAGAATTGAACCGTGTTCCAGCCCTTCGAGAGGACAACCTCGAGATGATGGTCAGGGTCGTAGGTGGACCAGGGACAGTTCCCCGGATTGGGGAGGAAGAAGCTGGGATCGGTAGACTTTTGACAAAGCCTCGAATTACAGAAGTGAGGAGGCCAGAACGGTCAAGGGCATTTCGTTCGAGGTCGGTAAGCCTGCTCCTAAATTTAACCAGCGGATCAATCATGTAAGAGTTCCAAAGGAGACCTTCGTCGAGACCGGAAATGTCAACGGTGTTTTCTGCCTCGGCACTGGAAGTTGTCAGCTCACTGTTCTTGACGAGTGACGGCAACCTACCGATCCTGTAGTCGTCGTGTAAGATCAAAATCAGCGCTGTAGTAGAAGTTTCCGTTGCTTAGGAGCTTCTTCAGCGCGTGAAAGGGATGCTCGGAGACATCGTCTCCTTGAGTGTAATCGACATCGTCCGACTGGAAGACTTGCCCAGGGTATGGGTTAGGATAGGGCCCATGGGCATGGTCGTAGTCTGCACGGTTGAGGCAGTCTGGTCGGTCATCAGCACGACTTCTCTGCAACGGGGCCAGACCGACTTACAAAACTCCACGGCGAAGATCTTCTGGACGGTCTCGCCTGGCCTTACAGTGGCCACCTCTTCCGAGCCTGTGATCACGCAAAGGAAGACATCGTTATTCAGGGTGATAAGGCCCAAGGTGCCCTTTGCGGTGGTGACAGGATGAAAATGCTCGAGGTTGATGAGAGACTTGTCTCCAAACTCGACCATACATCTGGGTGTTACGTTGGATCGACTCGCGTTAGCCAGGGGGAGGCTAGTCGAGCTCGAGATTGAGGCTCTGCCACTTTCCGGTGCAGCGTGGGAATGGCGAAATACTAGGACGTGCTCCTCGGTTGCAAGGGCTACTGTCCGATGAGGGTAATCATGGATCAACACCCTGGTTGACATTGTGTCGATGGTCACCGGATGGGGCGCAATCGGTTCCGCATCGCCAGGCTCGTCAGCGGCGTCTATTTGAAGACAGGCCTAAGCCGGTATGAGCACCTCGACCCAGAGACCATTGACTTATTGCGGTATGCAGTCGCGTGCTAGAGATCTGGGAATTGGCGACTCTGGTGAGGCTCCGTGGCATATACCAGTCCGTCTTATAAGCCGCTCGACGATGTTATCTTGTCGGATATAAGACTTGTCATGGAGGTATACCTGGGCAAGGTAGGATGGTCGCTTTCTTGGGGGGTTGACAAAATGTCGATGGATCAATGAAAGCTGAAGATGAGGTTGTCCTGCGGCTGCACGTGACTTGCCGCTTAGTGAGATTTCTCGATACACGACGACGGAACATACAAGACTCGATCCAGCACGACAGACGTAGCAGACTAGAGCAAAAATGGTCTTTGACAGGCTCTATTTTATTCATCATGTTGCTACACAGCCTTTTTATCTCCAAGGCAATGAGCAACATTGCCAGCTAAGCCGACCAACCTGAAATGAAAATGGGTATCATATATGAAACCCCAGGCAAGCAGAACGCCATTCAAAACCTCAGTATGCAACATGGTGGCAGTGTCCTTGAGCCGATATCCAAGCGATATATTTCGCCACTCCATCGAGAGCCGTTTGTTCGGCATCAGAGTGCTGACTCCCACATGTATTTTGAACAACACCCGCTAAATCCACAGATCGTAAAGTCGTAACCATGACAAAAGAAATTCATCCACGTGTCGCGTCCCCTGAGGCATGAAAAACCAATCCCGAATTCTCGAGAGGATAAAGCCATGCCTCCTGAAGTGGCCTATGCCAGCGGTTCTCTCGTCCGTCGACCATCAAGGGTTGTCGTAGATTGGAAGGTTGCCGTAGAAAACCAGAAAGATGTAGTTGGCGTAAAGTGTATCGTACCGAAATAGTCGAGGAATGGACAGTGCCACCCAATTTTCGTCTTGTCGCTGTTTTCTCACGATCATCGTCCGGATCAGACGCTGGCCAATCTACCCCAACCCGTCCTGTCAACATCAAGAGAGCCGCTCACATAACGATGCATGCACTGTCGTCAGTGGCACCGTGCTGAGATTTAGCGGCCACATCAGGCTTTTTATCACCTTTTAAAGGCCGCGACGGCCGACCCCCTGCCCCTCCCAGCATCCAGGCCGCGATGCCTCCGGTCGGTTTCTTCTTCTTGGGGCCTATAGCTCATGGTTAGCACTCAAACATTCCCCCGTCAGGTTTTCTCGTAGCCCATGTCCCGTACCTTTTCTCTCCTTCTTTGGGTTGATGATTTCATCCAAATTTATAATCGTGTCTTCTAAGATCTCTGGAGGCGGCGGTGGTAGCGGTTCCTCTATGATCTCCTTGGGCTCCGGAATGGGCCACAGCATCATTGTGATGTGCATGTCTGGCTCAATGGTGGATTCCCAATAGTTGGGCATGATGATCTCCTTGTCAGGCCCGATCAGGTCGTAACGGCCGGCAGACACATGTTCTGCCAGGTTTTCGATGTGTGCAAATGCTTGGACGATCAGATTTTCCATATCCTGCCAATAGTCAGCTCTCCGTCACCTTGATGATGGTCTAACCAACTTACCCTCCACTTGCAGCATCGATCCCAGGGGAAATTGTAATTGCGCCCGATCGCATCTTTGAATCTAACAGGAGCCTTTTTCTCCGGCCCTCTCGCAGCGGCGGCTTTCTTTTCCGCCTCTTCAGCCTCTGCCTTTGCTTTGGCGGCTGCTTCTTCAGCCTCCTTGAGCTTCGCTTCGGCTTCTTCCTTTACCCTTTTTGCCTCCTCTCTAGCAGCCGCCGCAGCCTCTGCGGCCTCCTTTTCGATGGCGCTCTTCGCAGCCGCTGCAGCGTCATCGGCAATCTTCTTCTCGGCTGCGGCCTTTTCTGCTCTCGCAGCTGCCTCTTCCGCAGCCGCCTTCAGAGCCGCCTCAGCAGCCTCTTTGCGAATCTGCTGCTCTCTCGCAGCCTGTTCCGCAGCCGCTCGGACCTGCTCCTCGTAAGCCCGAATTGCTTCCTGTCTCGCTTCTTCTCGGATTCGTTTCTCTGCGGCCCTGCGTTCGGCCTCGGCCGCGGCTTCGGCGCGCGCCTTCGCCTCTGCTGCCCGCACAGCTTCCTCTCGAATCCGCCGCTCTTCTTCCATACGTGCAGCTGCGGCTGTGGCTTCTGCCCGGGCCTTTTCAGCTGCCTGAAGCAAAGCCTGTTCTCGAATTCGTTTCTCTTCTTCCGCACGTAGGGCATCTTGCCGTGCTTTCTCTTCGGCCTGACGTATTGCATCTAGTCGAGCCTTCTCTTCGGCTTGGCGAACTTTTTCCTCCGCCTGGACCAGGGCATCCTGTCGTGCCCTCTCATCTTGTCGCGCTTTTTCCTCGGCCTGTCGGGCCTTCTCCTCAGCTTGTCGAACTTTCTCTTCGACCTGCCTCAGTGCCTGAAGACGACTTTCTTGCTCCGCAATTGAGGCTGCTTCCGCATCTTTGGCAAGCTGATCTTCTTTCATCAAATCCTTGAGACGTCTGACAAGGTCATCGTCATTCTTCGTTTCGAGCTTTTCAGCAGATGCACTTGCGGAAACTGGCTGTGGGGAAGGTGCCATTGGCGGAGCATAGTATGGGTAGGGCATTTGTTGAGGGTACTGCATGTAGTGTGGCGGGTACTGCTGGCCACCAAAGGGAGGAGGATATTGAGGAGAATAGTAGCTGGCAGGCGGCGGTGGAGCACCATAGTTGACGATCGTCGCAGGGCCATAAGGGGATGACGTGTACGGACCGCTGACTTGAGAAGGAGCATGGTGACTAAAGCCTCCTGGGTACGCCGTATGAGGAGGATATGGCACGGGCTGGCTCTGGGGGTAGGTAGGGGGGTATGGCATAGCCATTGGTTGTGGTTGAAGTGCAATCACTTGATTTGCGGGATGTGGCACAGGAGGATATGGGTATGAAGCTGACGAACTGCTTTGAGTATACCCGTTGGGCCCATAGTATGATTGAGGACGAGGCATGTGAGAGCCCAGGTCTGGCCTGGCAAGGAACTCCTCGGTCGAGTCCCCGCTCTCTGTCGGGGATGTGTCTTGCAATGCTCGGGTGCGACTGCGAGCAGGCTCACGAATAGCCTGCTGACGGTGTACCGCCTGTCGTCTTGCTGAATTAGATCGAGACTCGTATTGTGGTACTCTTTCGTGGTGATCTATTCTCGAGGCAGAATCCGAGCCATCGGGCTCCGGAATTTCGTTCGGATATAGCACTTGGACAAAATCACCGTGGTGTGAGGAGCCACTCTGACTTTGTGTCGGCTGAATGACTGAATATTGGGGGGAGACGCCCGCTGAGACCTGGACACCGGTTTCGTGGAGCTCGTCGTCTTGCGAGCCGGGGGAAGGAGAGCGAGAGATGTGGGTAATGTCAATGTGTGTATGACTGTGACGACCTGAAGACCTAACAGCAGGAGAGTTAGCTCTGGTGGGCAAAAGTGTCGGTGTAATAACCCACCCCATGAGAGACTGAGTGAGGTCAAGGAATTACCGCGTTCAACCTACCCCAGAGGGAAGGCTGAACGAGATAGCCTTGAGGGTTATGTTAGTGTCAAGGGATGTGCTAACCGGACCAAAGAGGGCTGACTTCAGGCAGTAGGACCGTCCAAATGGGCCAGATCCAGTGTATGAATTATTTTTTTTGAAACCAGTATCCTTCAGCGCCAAATGTGGTCGAAGAAATTCAAAAGGGCCTGGCAGAGGGGCGTGATGACCTCCCGCAGGTGTGCCACCGGTAGCGTCTCGCTGTCGTGAAGGGGCGTCGTGGGAATTCCCGACCAGGTGGATCCGAGGCCGTGGGGAGGGAAGGGTCGAAGGGTCGGGCCAGAGGCAGAACAGGTTGCATATGCGAGGAGCCGAAGGGGGGGATGCCGATCAGGCGACGGAGAGGGAAAGAGAATTACAACGTAGTTCAATGGCAGAAATGCAAGGTGGCGACGGGTATGAATGTGGTGGAAGTTTGTGAATGTCGAGAGAGGAAAAGGAGGAGGAGGAGCAGGTTGGCAAGGTGACAATTGTACGGGTAGCGAGATGAGACGGTGAGTATGGCTGCCCAGATTGCAAATGTGTGTGAGGCGCGTGGACAGGTTGTTGACGCCAATGTGGTTGTTTGGCGTGATTGTGTGTTGACTTTTGACGGGGGATCAAGATTCTGGATGCTGGGATCCGCCCAAGGAGTCGAGATGGCCAAAAAAAGGGGGCGCGGGGGGTAAATGAAATTGGTGACTGATGCCCAATTGCTCACCCACTCAATGGAATCCCCCCCTAATTCGCCGGGTGCAGGCGCTCTGCGGGCGCTGCGGGCAATGGGTAGTGGGCAGTGGGCAGCAAACAGTAGGCTGCGGGCTGCGGGCTGTGGGCGCAGTCTATTTGGTAGTAGTGGGGCTTAGCGGCCTGGGTGCCCAGTCTGACTCCTCCCTTGCCCTCTGTCTTCCAGGCCACCAATTCTTTTGCTGCAAGGCACCAACCCACGTCAATGAGAAGAAATCTTGTCCCCAGTATGCAAGGATGCAAGAATGAATATTCAATCCACGCTTCAGTCAATGCACGTCAGTCCACTGAGGGTCTGGGACGGTGTTGTCGTGGTTGCTAGTTGATGGTGTGTGTCAACAAGAGGCGTCTCTGACCACCAGCACCACCACCACCGTTTTGCAATGAATGAAGATGTGTGTCTCCCCAGGACAACTTGGTCCTTGGTGACGCTGACCCTTGCCCAGAGGTTAGGTCCAAATAGACCTCGAAACGGTTATATCAATTCCACCCAAAGTCTTGTACAGACAGTTGTTTCATACAATTTCGTTTTTTGTTCCCCGTTTATCGTGAACTTTTTGGTGCGGCTTTTCGCCCCGGAGGATCTGATTCCGCAAGATCGAACCGCAGGGCCCGTCGATGGATACGGCGGTGCAAAGGGAAGACTAGAAAAGATTGAGCCTCCCGCAAGAATCTGAAATGGGAGAATGCAAGATGTGAGTTGGCGACAGGAGAGCGTCGCCACAACAACCCGCAGCTTGTCCAAAAGGTACTCAGGTGACGCAGTGTGGTACAGAAAATTCTCTCCTGGTTGCAAGCGATCTGTAAGGGATTGGATCTAGTAGTGTTAAGCGCTTCTTGCGCGCTGTCTTTCTTCGATCGCGATTGGATTTGTGATTCTGAGACATTGAGGGCTCCGTGGAAGGAGACGTCAAAGAGGCTGTGAGCCTGGTATTATTAATGGCAAAAATGGGAGTGACAAAAGTGCACGCAAATCGTATGCAATGGGTCTACATTTGGGTTGATATCAAGAAAGATGGCCATCCACCCCCCCCCTTGACCGGTCATGGCATTCTCAGTCTATATATCAGAAACCGAAACAACCCGGTTTCAAGATTGCCACCGGGACACCCAACTCTCCGTAACGCAGGGCGGATTAGCCTGATATTCACCCTCGCCTTGGGTGTCGGAGGACTGATGATACCCGTTCCATTTGGTGCTTCTCCCAACAAAAACCTCAACTCGGGTGCGGCCTGAAGGTGGGATTCTTGACTTGACCTCGTGGTTGTTAGTTTGTCGGAAAGACGAGGCTCCAGTGACTCTAAATTAGACGTGATGGGCAGAAACGACCCACGGCCGCTGACAGGGTAAGAGCCTCATTCGCTGGTGGTTGGGTGTCGCGACAATCGAGGCATCCTCAGAAATGCTGCCACGTTGGCTTGCGCCGAAATGCTGCCCAACTTTCCACCTTCCAGCAGCACGCTAGTGGAAACGCCTGCATCTGACATGATCTTCGCCAAACCATGGGTTCTGCCACGGTCCATTCGGTTCTCTGCAGGAACTTTCGCCTGGTCCACCTCTGGTGCCAAAAGGCACTGACATCCGTACGCAGGTGGCTTTCTCAATGCGCTTTCATTCGGAGTAACGACATGACTTGGGCTGCTTTCTGGTTCGATGCCCCAGGAGATTTGCGGAATGGTTCAGCCTTTGGATCTGTTCAACAATTCCTGGGCTGCAATGAGTTCGGACTGATCGGTCCCGGAGGATCGTCGGCCGCTGCGGTCCTTGATGATAGCTTGCAGTCTTGACGTGGCCAGCTGATTTAATTTCTGCACCTTGTCCGGGGTGATCGACGAGCTGGTGTTCCCCCGAGACGTCGTGTTCGTCAGCAAGACCTTGTCCGTGGCCAGTTTTAGCCCGTAAAACCCACGCAGATAGTCGTCGCAAAGTTCAATGCTTCGACTGAATCGTCGGATTGCCTGCGATAGGTGTTTGTCGACTTCGGAACTCTCCGTTGACGACATGGCAGCTAGATATTCGAGCTCTCCCAGTCGTGCATGAAGATTCCATGCAGTGGGTGCAATGATTACAGTTTCCTCGAGGCAAAAGATAGCTTGTGGCAGGCAACCCTGTGAGTGATAGAGGTCGCTCAATTCACACCAAGCTTCCATGTCGGTGGGAAAGGAATCCACGAATTCCACCAGGTCTTTGATGGCATCTTGCGGCCTTCCCAAGCTTCTCATGAGCGCTATCCGTCGTTTGTGAATGGGGACATTCATGGGGTTCTCCATGAGTATTTTGGCATAGTCTTCTAATATCTTTCGCAGTGCTGCTTCATCTGGTGCCGTGGCTTCCTGATAAAGCCCTCTCAAAGCCATAACTCTTTCATTGGTTGAACCGAATCTCTGACTTAATCGTTCCACACATAGAAAGGCGGACTTATCGTCCCCGGTTCGTAGGCACGCATAGAGGAGTTGTTCAAGCTCGTCCCATAGTTCAACAGAATCCGCCTTGTTGAACATTGATGCAGGAAAGGTCGTACTGATCGATGACGACTTTGCAAGGATCGAGGAAGCCTGCTGTGCCATGCGGAGAGCGGAGGCAGGATCGGAAGAAGGGGTTCGACTTGCGACTGTCGCCATTGCTGCCTGATTCTTTGACAGATTCGACCAGGGCTGGGCTTGGAGGAGGATGTAGACTGCGCAGGACTAAATAGGTTTTTCGAGGAATCACTAAAGGATTCGTGCTGAGTAAGGAGTGGACAAAATGAGGCTGTCAATGGATCACAGGGTAAATTGGAGAACACACTGGACAGGATCAAGTCTGGAGAGCCACTGCAAAGTCACGTAGTAGCTCCTCGTTTATCACATTCGACGCAGTGAGCGCCTTGTAAAGCCGTCGAGCGGTGCACGCCGTTTCTTCGGAATAATTGGCCTTGGCATTAAGGCGGAGCAGTTGACACCACACGAAGAGGTCCTCAGCGTCGTTGCATCTCATCACATCATCGTCTCTCTCCCGTGGCCTTTTTAAAGCGTTTCGGTCACAGGCGAAATCAAAGCGCGAATGTTTGGGGCATGTGCTGAACCCTGAGGGATCGGGGCAGCGGCGCATCAAAACAGCATCTTCATTTTCTGTTCGCTCGAAGAAAGGACAACCCGAATCACAACCTCAACATCAGTGTCGCGTGAGAAATGAGGGTCCGCCAGATTCGAGGGGTAACACCGGCCGTTCAGCTCTCATGACATGCTGATAAGAACCTTTCAATATGTTTGAAAAGTCACTGGTCGACCTCATCCGAGGCCTGCGAGGCCACAAGGGAAATGAGGCGGAATACATTCAAGCCGCGCTCAAAGAATGTCGAAGCGAGATTCGTTCCCAGGACCTGGACCTCAAGGCCACGGCATTGCTCAAGCTCATTTACCTGGAAATGTTTGGATATGACATGACCTGGGCCGCCTTTAACGTCTTGGAAGTCATGGCCTCCCCGAAACCGGCGCAGAAACGAGTTGGCTATCTCGCTGCTGTCCAGAGCTTCCGACCCGAGACAGAGGTTTTGATGTTGGCTGAGAATCTACTTAAAAAGGATCTCACCTCTCCTTCAATACCAGTCCTAACACTGCCGTTGGTCACCCTTCCGCACATTGTGACTTCGTCCCTGGCACTCTCCATTCTCACGGAGCTTCTGCCACGATTGTCCCATTCACAACCAGCTGTGCGGAAGAAGACCATTGTCACGCTATACAGGCTGGCCCTGGTGTATCCTGAAACGCTGCGAGTTGCTTGGCCAAAGATCAAGGAACGTTTACTAGATGAACAGGAAGATAGCAGCGTTACTGCCGCTACGGTCAACGTCGTATGTGAGCTCGGATGGCGGAGACCCCAGGATTTTCTGCCTTTAGCCCCCAGGCTGTTCGACCTTCTACTGGCCCAGAAGAACAACTGGATGGGTATCAAAATCATCAAACTGTTTGCAGTCCTGACTCCTCTCGAACCAAGATTGGTTAAGAAGTTAGTCCGACCCCTCACCAAACTGATTCAAGAGACAACGGCAATGTCGTTACTTTACGAATGCATCAGCGGAATTATTCAAGGAGGAATCCTGGATGGCGGTGAAAGCGGCGTCGACGTGGAAGAAGTGGCCGATCTTTGCATTTCCAAACTCAGGGGAATGATTGTGTTGGACGGAGATCCCAATCTGAAATATGTTGCTCTACTGGCCTTCAACAAAATTGTGACCACCCATCCTACACTCGTTTCGATGCAACAAGACGTCATCATGGGATGCTTGGACGACCCTGACATTTCGATCAAAATGCAGGCATTGGAGTTGGTGTCGGGTATGGTCAGCAGCGACAACCTACAAGCCGTGGTCAATCGCCTTATAAAACAACTTGCAGGCTCAGCGGCAGCCACCGTGGGCGCCAATGGACACGCCGAAGAAGAACAGACAGATATGGAGCAGAGGCTGGTCCCGGATAAACGAGGATCGGAAAATGTCCCTTTGCCTGACGAATACCGCTACGAAATCATCAATCGAATTCTTGAAATGTGCTCTCATAACACTTATGCTAACATTACCGATTTCGAGTGGTATATCGAAATACTGGTTCATTTGGTCAGACACCTCCCGGCGGACAAGGATGCGAATTCGTCGAGAGCCACACTTGAGGATGACACCTCTCTGGGAGCTCGGGTCGGAAGTCAGCTTCGCGATATCACAGTCCGAGTCAAGGAACTCCGACCAGAAACGACAAAGGCAGCTGAAACTCTAGTCTTGCTGTCCAACAGGGCCATCGCCTACCCGAAACATGGCACCGGTCAGAGTCAGGTCATCAAATCGGCAGCATGGATTTGTGGCGAATTCGCCCTGTACTTGTCTAACCCATACGAGGTTCTCAATTCACTGATTCACGAATCATCTGGGCAATTTAGTCCCACGACCTTGGCAATCGTGGTCCAAGCAATCCCGAAAATCATTGCACGCATTGCTACGACGGCCGACCGTGAATGGAATGCCTCAAGGGGTGCGACAATGTCGCTTCTTCTTGCCAGAACTACCGAGTTCCTGGAGAAGCTCTCATCCCATCCCAACCTCGAAGTGCAAGAGAGAAGCGTCGAGTTCCTCGAACTTCTACGCCTAGCTTCAGAGGCGCTCTCTGCTCAGGACGGAGAGAGCCTCCAAGCACCGTTGCTGCTGACTTCTGCAGTTCCAACACTCTTCAGTGGTGCAGAACTCAATCCTGTATCGGCGGCAGCCCAGAAGAAAGTTCCTCCACCCGAAGATCTAGACCTCGATGCGCCCATAAATCCCGACTTGTCTACGATTCTACAGGATTCGCAGGTTGCGGATGTTGATGATCATGGGGATGATGTGTTCCAGTCTTTCTACCACGACCGTGAACCCGTACAGGCCATCACGTCGCTACAGCCGCAAACAGCAGCTGCTTACCTGGAATCTGCCGCTGCTTCGGAGACTGCACCGCTGTCATATCAAGCGGCACCCGAGTCACCCAACACTCTAGCCAGGCGAAAGGCCGAGAGGATGGCTCGGAACAAAGACGATCCATTCTACATTGCCCCGTCCGACGATACGGACCCTCAGTTCCACGACATCATCAGCAAGACTAACGGCGATGATGAACTCGACGTCGACTCGATCCCAATCATCGATCTACAAATCGATCGGACCCAGACAACGGCGGCGAGAGGAGAGACAGGAGAGGAGCGCAGACCGCGAAAAAAGAAACCGACCCGGCGGTTCGTCGTCGCCGCAGATGAGACCCTCGAAGCCTCCACCGCGACCACACCCACCTCACAGTCTTTTTCGAACACGAGCCCCTTTGCCGCCCTAAACCAGGCCCAGCGGACCCGTTCACTCAGTCCCAACGACCAACCGCGTACACACTCTCGACCAACCCGCACGCTCCTGTCGGTCGACTCGTCGACGCTCCAAAACCTGAGCCTCGAAGGCCCAGCAGAGACCGAGTCGGAGATCCTCCGCCGCGAAGCCGAGGAGTTGGAAATGGCGATTGCGCTGCGCGAGGTGGAGAAGAAGAGGCTCGAGATGCAGCGTGAAATTGAACGGCAGAGGACGGTGATGGGCGAGGGGGTGGACGCCGAGGGCACGGTCGTGAGGCGGAAAAAGAAGAAGAAGCCCAGGCCCAAGGTCAGAGTGGACTCGGGTGAGGAACGGATTCAGGTAGAGGCAGAAGACAACGATGGCGAAGAAGGGTCTGTCAAGAAGAAGAAAAAGAAGAAGCGGACGCCCAAGCTGGTCGAGGAAGGGACTGAGGCGAGGAACGAGGACGGAGAGGCTACAGAGATGGCAGGGGATGTGCAATCGTGATTGTGTTCTACTTTGCTGTAGGATGCTATAGCTTTGGGTGGTCTTGACCTTCGGCCTCGGGCATTATCAAGGTCACGGTCACTGGTCGGACGCATCACTGAGGATTCGGGACAGAGCGACTGATATAACGCGAGCGGGAGAGACGAGCATGATTGTATATGTTACAACGTCTACCGAGAAAGAGATCTTGATTGAACGGGCGAGCGAGCGTAGTGCTAGAGAGTAAAGCCAGCGACGACGACGATTTCGAGAGAAGTTGAGGGAGTGCACGGGACTGGGTCTTCTCCCCTCCTCCTCTTCCCAGAGGTGTGTTTGAGCCCCCTTCGCCGCTCTGTTTACTTCCACTATGTATGTATGTATGCACATTTGTTCAGAAAGCCAGTCGAGCAGAGCGGAGCACGGGACAGAATCTCAACAACTGGCCCACGGCTTCTCGCACACAAGTCACTGAATACACACCCGTCGTTTGTGGTCCGACACAGATGTCTCGTTTACTCTGACAACCGTCTGTCCAGCCATCACCCCTCTGAATCAAGAGGGGCAAGGGGCAGTGATGGCGACGGCGGTGGCAGCGACCGATGGTTGGGGGCGGTGTCTTGTTGCCGAACGTCTGTCCCTGTGGTCTGCGGATCGGATCCATCTCATCTGTGTCTGCCTTTTCTTGTTCGCCTCCTACTTGTACTTTATGTCATTTACGAGGACTTGTATGTCATTTTGTCCGCGAGGATAGCGTTCATAGCCACCCAGCCCCGCCTCACCAAACATGCCCGCGCCCCCTCCCGGCGAGGCGTTCTGACGGCTCTAGCAGTAGAGGTGTTTGCAAGGGCGTGCAGAGGGAATGTGAGCGGGTGGGCAGGCAGGTAGGTAGGTAGGTAAGGTACATGGGTTTGGTAAAGTCGGGTAGGTAGGTGGGTTGCCAGGCAGGGAGGTATGTGTACGGGTAGCAGGCAGGCAGGCTAGGGTGAGCAGAGGATCTGAGCGTCATTCCCTCGGGTCGCCAGAAGAGGAAACGGGGTGTAGGCCCCGTGCATGTACGAGATAGAGTGAGGCATAAGCGAGGACAAGGTCAGAGTCAAGAAGAAGAAAGAAAGAAAGCAAAAAGGCAAAACGGCAATGGCTGAGTTCCGAACTGTGGAATCTCAGGATTGAGTTTTGTCAAGGATGGTGGTGGTGTTGGTGGTATCTGCTGGAGGTAGCATGGTACATACGTGCTGTACCTAGTGATCAAGTGTCGATCTCGGAAGAGAGACAAGAGGGGCACGCAGGAAGATGCGAAGATGGCAAGTGGGCCAAGCC